AAGCCATTGCATAGAGTGATGGTTGGAATATCACTAACTTTTTAATTCCCATTGGTTTATGTCTGAAAGTGCCTGTGAATATTGATGGTCTAATGTGTGTTTTGTGATCCTGATTCAGTTTGTGTCCCAGTTAAATTGTCATATGTGAAACAGGATAATTGATATGTTCATAATTTGCATCATTTAGGTTGCACATTTCATTACAAATTATGTTTTATTTCATGCATTTTAGGTCTTTAGGGTTTGTTTTAGAACTTAGGAGATGCATTAGGTCCCAATGAGTCTTTGCATGTTTTGAGTGTTTATCAGGTGTATTTGGAGCTATTTGGAGCTGAAAAGCTGAATCCAGGAAGTGGAAATGGTGACCAAAGCTTGAAAAGTGGTGAAATTGTGTTTTTGGAGGTTATCGGCCATTCTCGCAGACCAGGAAGGTTTTTTACCGGCCATTTTCATGTACCGCGGGTAGACTCTATCTGCCAAAACACGTACCGTGAGTGAATTGTATCGGCTAAAATCTCCGGGTGCAGACACGTTTCCGAAATCGCCTGTCCGGGGAACCTTCCGGTCCAATTCAGCTGTCGGGTGCTTCATATAAGTTGGAGAGGATTGGATCACGGTTCCATAGCAAGTGGAATCATAGAATTCGGACGCGTGAGCAGAGAGTTAAGCTCGTCGGAAGAAACCCCTGTCTCGCTGCTGTTTTGGACCAAGCCGATGAGCTCTGAAGAATGCGAAGGACGGTTTTATTCCAGGCCGATTCAGTTTCCGGGGCCTTCATGAGAATCAGAGCATTTGAGTCTTCTTTCCAGAACATCCGAGATCATTCAATTCGGAGCTATGAGCAGGAAGATACGGTCTCCGGAATGGACACACGTCTAGACGCATCTCTCTGATCGTGTAAATGCACTGCAAAGATGTGCCCTCCAGGAAGCCTTACACTTCCAAAGCACCGAAGCTTCCTTCACCAAAGTTTTAGATACATGAGTCCTCTGTCCTCTGCAACCGTAATCACTCAATTCGGACAAGTATATCGTGAGTTACACTCTCCGGAATGCGAAGTGGTCCAGACAGCCCTGAATGACTAAGTTAAACATGCCGCGATGGAATGCCACGGTCCACACTTGGCCGTGGAAACTTTTGCAAATCTTCGGCGATTGACACGATCTTCATGCAACGGTCTACACTTGACCGTAGCAAAAAGACAATTGGCTGGGAGGAACTTTACAAGCATTCGGGTTTTGACACGGTTTGAATGCCACGGTCTGGGACTTGACCGTGGCAAACAAACACTTGGCTGGGAAGGACTTTACGAGCATGCGGGTTTTGACACGGTCTGGGACTTGACCGTGGCAACTTTTACACAACTTTGGCGTTTGACACGACCATTTGCCACGGGTTTTGGACGAGGTTTGTTAGACCGTGGCATCAGAATGCAGCCAAGAACATGCGAACAAGGGATTGACACGATCAAGTTGCCACGGTCAGACCAAGAACACACTTGACCGTGGCAAACCCATCTTCACCCACCAAGACCGGGTCAGTACCCGGTTTGTTTCGGGTTGACCCGGTTCGCCTAAGAACCCTATATATTCTTTTTAGACCTAATCTGGAGAACACCTTTTATCCATTTTTAGTCTCCTTTCCCCTTTTGGTGAAAAACTACTTGATACACTTTGTTTTTAAAGTTTGATATCGATTTGAAGTTTCTTTTCATCTTGTTCCATCATTTCTCATCATCAAATCACACTTCTAATCATGATTAACA